ACTGGAATTAGTAACTCATTTTTGATTGAACCAAATGGAAATTGTTTTGTTCAATACTTTGTTGAAACAACAAATTGTCTAATATGTGATGAGTCACATTATTACAGAAATGCAAATGGAACATGTTCAACTATTGAACCCACTGACCCATTGTGTATCTCATATGGTTTTCATTGTTATCAATGTAGTTCAACTCATTATTTGGAAAATGGTATTTGTAAAGAATGTTCAAAAAAATTTGAATTTTGTAATACTTGTAATTTCACTCAATGCCTCAGTTGTATGACCAATTATTCTTTAAATACAATGAATAATTGTGTTTTGTCTTCATCATATGATTTATGTGAATGGAAAACCAGTGTTTGTATGAAATGTGTAGATGGATATCAATTTGATGTATCTTCAGGTAATTGTAAACCATGTCCATCAAATTGTTTAGTTTGTGATAATAATACTTGTATATTATGTGAGAAAAATACCACATGGGATGGGATTTCTTGTATTAATTCAAGCTCAGTTGAGTTATATATTTATGGAAAACAATCAAAATGTCAAAATGGATATGTATCTATTGAAGGAATCTGTCACAATTGTTCAGAACGTTATGGTCATTGTTTATTATGTGATGAACAGACATGTCATCTATGTGAAGAAGGTTATGTTATTCTTTCAAATGGTCAATGCATTTCTAAAGAACAATGTCATTGTTTAGAAACAACAAACAAATCACAATGCTACCAATGTGAAGAAGGATTTTATTTAAGCAAGGGTCAATGTACAAAATGTATTGATGGATGTTCTTATTGTTTAAATGAAAATACATGTGAAAAATGTTTATCTGAATTTATTTTAGTTAGAGGATTATGTGAGAAAATAACAAATGAAGTGATGGAACAAGCTCATTGTGTCGAATATAAAAATGGACGTTGTTCACTTTGTGAAACAAAATATTATTTAGATGACTCAATGAAATGTGTTAATTGTCCAGATAATTGTACTTCTTGTACATCACAAGGATGTATCAGTTGTGATCAAGGATACATTGTTCAATCTTATTTGTGTATATATTCCAATCAAACACATTGTCTAATACCTTTTTTCAATGATGCAGGTTGTGTTATATGTGAAGATGGTTATTTTATTAATAAAACAACCTGTTCAAGTTGTAAGGTATTTGGTGAATGTATTCAATGTTCTTTTTCTGGATGTACTAATTGTAGTGAAGGATATTATCTTAATGGAGTGAAATGTTCTCCAATTTCAGAGCTTGAACATTGTTTAAAAGTTGATTATACTGTTGGATGTATTTCATGTGAAAATGGATATAGAATTACTCAAGACTCTCATTGTACAACATGTGAAGCTAATTGTAAGCATTGTACTTCGATACAATGTATTAAATGTAATAAAGAATATGTTTTAAATAAAAATGATAAACAAAAATGTGTTTCTATTTCAACTATTGAACATTGTATTACATCAGATGGTCAAATATGTACTAAATGTTCATTCTTTTATCATCTTAAAAACAATAATTGTACTGTTAATATTATTGCAGTTATACTTATTAGTTTGATTATATTTATATCAATTTCAGCAATAATAATAGGTATAATTATATACATTGCTATTAAAATTAATAAATATAAAAAAAATGATTTGTCAAGTGGATATATTAATATTGATTCTGGATTAAACATTTTTTCAATAAGATATTCTAATATTCATTTTTATAAATTTAATAATTATTCTCCATTAGTATTTGATAAACAATCACTTTTATTTGATGAAGGTCCTGATAGATTACCCGTAGGTGTAGAATCAAGAACAATATTGTATGTTGGTAATGATTCAAAAAATAAAATTTTTATACAATTTACTTATATTGAAACACAATATCCTAAATATTCATTAAGAATAGTCCCACAAACTATATGTCTTCCTGAAGGAGAAGCATGTGAAGTTGAAATTTATATTACACCATTATGTTCAGGAAGTATGAATGATTCAATTGTTATAATTTCTAATTCTTCACATAAAAAATATAAAATGAATGATATTATTTCATTCAGTTATACAACACAAATGTCTACTCATATTGACTACGATGATTTAATAGAAGAAAAGAAAATAGGAGAAGGATCATTTGGAATTGTTTATCTTGGAATATTTAGAGGAAATAAAGTTGCGATTAAAAGATTAAAACAATTACAATGTGAAGAAGATGAATTAGAAGAATTTGAAAAAGAAATTGATATGTTAGATAAGTTTAGGTCAGACTATATTGTTTATTTCTATGGAGCAGTATTTATTCCAAGTAAGATGTGTATTGTTACTGAATTTGCAAAGTATGGGTCATTAAGAGATTTGATGAAAAATAAAAACTTACATTTAAAACCTCGATTAAAAATTAAATTTATGATAGATACTGCAAAAGGTATTCAATACCTTCATTCAAATGGAATTCTTCATCGTGATATTAAACCTGATAATATTTTAATATTTTCTTTAGAAGAAGGTGTTGCTGTTAATACAAAGTTAACAGATTTTGGATCTTCAAGGAATTTTAATTTATTATTAACAAACATAACCTTTACAAAATCAGTTGGAACACCTGCTTATATGGCTCCAGAAATCTTATGTCAATCAAAATATGGAACTCCTATTGATATATTTTCATTTTCTATTGTATTATATGAAATATGGAAATGGGATAAAGCATATCCAGTTGAAGAATTTAAATTTCCATGGAAAATTGCTGATTTTGTTTGTGATGGAAAAAGGTTATTACAACCTGAAGGAATGCCAGATTGGTATTATATTCTAATTTGTAAATGTTGGCAAAATAATCCACAAGAAAGATTAAGTATAAATGAAATAATGCAAGTCTTAAATTTTGCTTTTAATACACTCTTAAGTGAAGATTAATTAAACATAATTTATTTTAATTTTTTAGTTTGTATTAATTATTTTATTTCTTTATAATTTTTCTTTTTTGAAAAATAAGATTTGAGAAGAACTAAATTCATTTTAAATATAATGAAAGCTGTTGGAAGAGATTATATTGACAATTCTGTGAAAACACCATTTGAACAATTAATACGTGATATGGAGAGAAATAATACTAATATTGTTTATAAAATTAAATCTGATATTTATCATATCCATTTAAAAACTATTTCAACAAGTCATCCTTTTTTTCATTGTTCTAATTACATTAAAATTACTATAGAAGAACGTGTTGGTGATGAACTTATGAGATTTATTCTAGCTGCTGGGAAACAAGCATTTCCTCAATCTATAATATTTGTTGAAACAATAGAAATTATAATTGGTACAGGACCACAAGGAAAGATGTTTATTTCTGAAGGAAGTAGAAATGGTTTGAGTTATAATTCATTAAAAGAATTTGAAGAAATGATGTATGGTATTGGAAATGAATTAGAATATGAAACAGTACATAAATATTATATAAATAGCCCACCATTAAATGATAATAAAATGTGTTATTGTAGAGGATTAAATTATTTTGATAAAATATGTCTTGAAGCATATGTATCAAATACTGATGAATTTTTATTTACTAATTCATCACAATGGAAAATTATAATTGATGGAGAAACTGAAATACTTCCTATGTATTATACTAAATTTCAACAAATTAGCGATATGTTATCTGAAGCTAATAAAAGAGATATTAAAGAAATATATTTACATAAAAAATATCATACAAAACTAAGTTTTATTTCATTTTTATGTGAAAAATTTGATTTTGAAGAAATTAAAAGAGAAAAGATGATTCCATATAATTCTATATTTTCATTATATTGTCAATATGCAGTTTATCATTGTCATGACTTATTAGAACATAGAAATCTTTATCATAATTTTGTAGAAATAATAAAAGAATATATAAATATAAATCATATTTATGGATGTGGTTCATTACCAAAGAAAGAATATCCAAAAATTTATAATATTCTTTGTGCTATTAATTATATATTAGAAATTAGTAATAACCAAATTGAACGTGACAATGATGAATTACTTGAAATTGGATTTGCTTTTTCACAACCAAGTGAAAAAGATTTACAAATAATTCTTGTTAAAGACACTCGATATTTTCTTACTCTTCATCAACAAAATCATCCTACTTTAGAACAGTTTTTAGATTGGTATAAAATTATGAGAAAACAATATAATGAAACTCATCCAAGTCCTTTTTTAAATAGAACAATATATTCTGATGATGTTTTAGCAAGATATTTTGAAGTATGTCAAGGAAATTTAATGGATGTTATTCCTCATCATTTTATTGATGTTCAAGAAGAATTAGAAAAGTTATTAAATGTACTTGAATCTATTTCTCCTCAACAATATTTCTTTGATTATCTTCAAACTTTACTTATTACAACTCCACTATTATTAACACATTCAAATACTGTTTTTAATCCATCTTTAATTTGTCATTCATATTTTAATAGAGAGGCATGTGATCTTTCATATGACATTAGAAGAGAATTAGAAAGAAATATTATTAATGACAATAATTTAGAAGAAGCATTTAATATTAGTAATAGTGAAAGTAATAAATCATTAAATCATATGTTAGAATGGTTTAATTCATTTGAAAAAAGGTATTTTGCCTTTATTGATATAGAGAAACGATTACCTAATTTTGATATAGTTAATATAATTAATAAATTATTCCAAATGAAATCAAGTGATGAACATTATATTCATTATGAAATAAAAATATCATTGAGTGAAGGAATAGAATTATTTACAAACTTAGGATGGACACCAGAGAAAGTTCCAAATGAATTAGAATGGACAATTCATTATCAAAATGATATTAGAAATGAAAAAGCATATTATATTAAAAATCAAAAAGAAGTTCGTTTTTCACTTGAATGGATTGATTAAATTTAAATTAAACAAACTAAGTTTAAAAAGAAAAAAAAAAGAAAGAAGAAGTATTTTTATAAATTTAATTCAACTTAATTTTTAGAACGGTATCTTGATTTTGATTGTTCAACACACTCTTTGCATTTCTTAATATATTTATCTCGTTTGGTTCGATACATAACAGCAGCATCAACATTTGCTGGTGATTCACAATTTGGACAAGATAAAAGAGACATAACTGAAAGAAGGATTTTTTCAATATTTTGAACAGGACTCCATCGTTCACTTATTTGTTCATAATGAGTAGGATCTTCTGTTGGTGGGTGAAGAATAGAAATACAAACATCACCATTTGGATAAATATTTGGATGCCACATTGGACAAGTAAATGTCATCTTTGGTGGGTTCATTGGATAATCTGGTGGAAATACTAATTTTGCTGTTAATATTCCTCCTTCATACTCAGTCCCTTCAGGTCCAATAATAACAGCTTCCCAAACAAAAAGATCACTTTCACTTATAGGTCCAGCAGTAATACCTGGAGGTGGGTCTTGTGTTAATTTTTTATATTCAGTTGTTAATCGTTTAACAGCAACAGTATTGATTCTTCTCATAAAATATTTTAATTTCTTTTTTTGATGAAGTTCCTTTTTTTTAGTTTCTTTCTTAATTAGCTTAAAGAATTTAAAAACCCTGGTTGAATGAAAAGATAACACGTCATATAAACTTGATTGTAGAAATCATTTGTTTGATGTTTTCATTAAAGAACTTAATATAAAAACTAAAAAATCAAAACTTAATAAAAAAATAAAGAAAAAATAAAAAAATTATGAAGAAATGAACTGAAAAAATAAAAAAAAAGAATGGAAGAAGTTAAGAATGAAATTACTAAAATAAAACAACAAATTGATCAAGGAAAATTTATTCAACTTACTCCATCAGTTGTTATGTTAATTAATGGACTTAGTCATCCAGAATTTTCCTTTTGTGATATGAAAGAGATGGCAGCTCCAATTAAGTGTTTAATTATTACACAAGAAGAAGATGGAGAAGATGAACAAATGAAGAAAGAAAACAATGATATTTTATTACTTGAATTTTGTAAATATTGTCAATTAGAATCATTGAAAATACAAAACATTGGTGGTTGTGTTGATTTAACAAAAGATTATATTTATAAGAACCTTAAAACTTTACATTTAGATAATATTATTTTACAATCTATTTCATTACTAATGAATATACCAACTGCTAAATGGGAAAATTTAGAAGAGTTTTCTTTAACTAATTGTGGACTAACTGAATTAGAAGATATTTTTAATGAAGTTGTATTCCCAAATTTAAGAGTATTAGATGTTAGTAATAATAAAATTGAAAAGATTAATAATATCACAGAACGTCCTCTTGACGCTTTTATTGCTGATAATAATCAAATTACATCAGTTTATATATCAAATCCATTGTCTATTTCAGTGTTATCTTTTGATAATAATCAATTAATGGATATTAATATATTTAAAAAATGTTTTAATTTAAGAGAACTTGTTTGTTATAATAATTAATAAAATAATATATATACTTATCTTAGTTAGAGTTGTGCAAATAATAGAATATTAGATTTAAGTAATGTCCAATATGTGTTTAGAAAAATGTTTAATATTAAATCAATTATATTAGATGGAAATGATATTTGTAATATTGATGATTATCGTATTGAAATTTGTAAAAATTTACCACCATTTATGTTTGAAGAAGATGAAGATGATTTTGGAACTCCTCAAATTTCATTAAACGTCTCTTTAGATGGTCAACCATTTACTCAAGATGAAATATATTCTGCTAAAGATCAATTACCTAAAGAAGATATTAATGAAGAACAAAAATTTGATGAGATGGAAGAAGAAAAAAATGAAGATGACCAAAACTCAGTTTCAATTAGTTCTGCTACTGCAGTTACTTCTGTTATTAATCAAAAATTAGGTGCAATGTATCAATCAACTTCAATGGATTATTCAAAAACTATTGATAAATCATCAACAGAAATTACTGTTTTAGATAAATTGTTATCTCTTGACGTTAATAGTGATAAAGATGAATTAAGTTTAAGTTTCGATGCTAAATTAGATGCTTTTACTTATACTTCAACCCCTGAACGTACGGGAGATGACTCAAGAAGTATTAAAAGACTTGAAATGGAAAAACATACTGAAAGAATGGAAACAATAGAGTATGTTAAAAATATTGTTGACACTATCATTAATCCAAATAAACATGACCTTAGAGATGTAAATAATGCTGAAAGAATTATCAAAAAAATTAAGAACTTACTTAGTAAATGTGATAATGCTAATGATCCTGATGTTGCTAGAGTCATGACAGAAACACCAATGCCAAAAGATGGTATTCTTCCTGGTGATAGAATTAAAGCAGTTACAAATAGAGTTACAATTGATGTAGATGAATTAGTTGAAATGCCATATGCAGATTTTGACAATATTCTTTCATTATTTAATACAGAAAACTTTGTTGAAGTTGCACTCCAAAGTGATAAAAGAAAATTAAAATGGGAAGTAATTCTTCCATTTGAGATTCCTTATGGTTTTGAATTATTAACAAAGTTGATTAAAATGTATACTGAAAATAATCAACCTCCATTAAGATCTGATATGGAAATTGACTACAATAAATTTAATGCTATTGCCCCTAAATATTTTGATGGGGTTAAACAAGATGAACGTCATTTAGTTTCAGGTGATGGATTAATTGATCCTATTGCATCTGAAATTAATACCCGTATTTTTAATATTATCACATATCATCAAGTTCCTATAATAGATGAACCAATTCCAGACTCTTCAGAATTAATCCGAAGAGGTACTACAACTACAACATCAAAGAAATTAGGTTCAAGTTTCAGTGGTCGGTTATTTAAATAACAGTAATTTAATCATTTTTTATAAAAGAAAAATAAAATAATGTTATAAATACCGAAGTAATGAATAAAAAAGTATTCAATTTGTTTTAGATAACTATTCATTTTTTTTATGTTCTAAAACAATAATCACCAGCAAAAGTCATGTAACGAACCCAAGGATATGATTGATATCCACTTTTTTCAACTACTTTTAGATATCTTACTTGTAAACCACTTACAGTGTAATATGGTATTTCAAAATTAACACGAACAGGTTTCTTTTCTTTATCAGTTTCTTCATCTCTTATTGATGGTAATTCAAATGATGCTCTCATCATAAATTCACGATTACCAGGAAATACTTTAATAAACCATAAAGCACAATCATTTTGTGGTTCATAACTACAAGTTCCAATAGATGATCTAAATTGTGGATTAAAGACATCAGATGGAACAGGAACTCTAATTTGAACATTATTAGCATTAATAGCTTCTCTGAAGAAACTTTTTGCTTTAATTAAGATTTCAATTCTATTTCTCTTCTTTCTATCAATTACTGATTCAACCCAAATTAATTGTCTAATATTTGAAGTTAATCTATAATTCATTAATTCAAATTCTCCATCAGGTGGAACAAATCCAATAATTCTATTACTATCAAATTTACTTAATCTAACACATTGATGGAAACTAACATCATCCATTTCAGCTCTTTTTTGTACTTGATTTTTATTACTTTCCATTCTATCTCCAATATTAATTTTTTCATTTAGTCCAAGTCTTAATTCTGGCATTCCAGATAATTTACAATTAATCTTAATAGTTCCTAGAATTTCTGACCTTAATAATGACCCATTCTGTGAAACTAATACATTAACTTTTTCAATTACATCAACAAATACTTCGTTCTTTCTGTATTTAATTCCAGGAGTTCTCCATGAAACTGCACCAGTAACAACTGGAAGTAATGATTGAACTTGTTTCATATTCATACGATGACTTTCTTGAGTGATATAATTTTGAAGAACTTTAGTTTCTGTTATTTGTGGATATCCATAATCAATCATTTCATCTAACAATTCATAAATAACAACAAAATTATCTCGTATTGTTTCTTCTGTTACAACATCAAAATATGTCTTAAGCACTTCTATTAATTTTGTCAAAAATGATACTACTAACAATGAATTAATGTTTTGATCTGTAAATGCCATAAAATATAATCCATTGTGTCTGACATACATATATGTGATGTCTTGAATTAATATTACAGGACATAAATTAATTTCTTCTTCTTCTGTTATTTTAGTTACAAATTGATTAACAGCATTCATAGGAATATCACCTCTATAATTTCTACTAATAACTGTTCTTCCTTTAGAATCAAGTATGAACAGTGCTGCAATTGACATCTCTAAATATTTTTTAAGTTCTTTTTTATTGTTTTTTATTTTTTATTAGTATTTTTTTATTAATTAAAAAATTTTACCTTCTTTCAATTTTGTTTGACTTTTTTTGTTTTATAAAAACAAAATTTTATTTATAAATCTGTTTTTGAATAATACAATAAAACAAGAGGAAGTATCAAATGTAAATACTATTCATAAAACAAGAAATTAATACTATTCTGATAAAATAGTAAAAATGAAAATTAATTTTTAAATATCATTAATTTAATTTAAACAATTCAATTAAACAATTCAAATTACTCATATAAAACAGGTTATTTAATATAATATTGGTAAATAAAATAAATGGGTATTTTATTCTCATAAACTTTAATAAAAAAATGAAAAATTTAATTATTATTTATTCTTCTTCTAAAAGAACTGTTTTATTATTTATGATTTCATAATCGACAGTTTCATCCTCCTCTTCTGTATAGAAACGTTGAAATGTAGAAAAGAAAGAGATAATAGCAACAAATCCACCAAGAATTGAACCACCAAGAATATCAGAAAAGTGATGATAATGATCTCTTGTTCTTGTAACTGCAATAATAATAGCAAGAAACGATGGAAGTCCACAGAAGAACACAGAAGATAATGAATTTAAATGAATATTTGATTTTTTGAAATAAAAATAAAGGAATAAAGATAAAAACAATAATCCAGCCATAGAAAATGAAGAATGACCAGAAGGAAATGACTTAGTACAAGTATATAATGAAGGATTACAACCATTGAAATAAAAAGGACGAGGTCTTCCAGCGAATATTTTATATAATTGAGTGATAGTTCCATTTAATGAGTCATTAAAAATGAAAGACAATATTGAATTAAATAAACCTGATATATAATGGTTCTTTAAACATAAAAGAATGATACAAATTAAAGGAATAAAGAAATCTATTGTAATTGTCATATTTCTAGTGAAAGTATTTTCATGTTTTGAATAATGATAAGAAGGATGATTATGTGGAGTTTCCATTTTAAAAGGAGGTAAAAGACCAAATAACTTAGAAAGAACAAAAACAATAAAAGTAATAATAATATCAATTTTTCTTTTCTTTAAAAATGTAATCCATTGTTCTTTCCACATTTTAATAAACTCATTTTTTTAAGTTCAATTTAAAAAAGACTAATTTTTAATTTAAAATGAAAAAAAAATGAATAAATAACATAATTAAAGAATTGAATTAAATTTGTTTGTAATTAAATTTTTCATAGACAAACTGAACATTAAGTGGATCTGCAGTTT